CGCCGCCTCCGCAGTCGCTGCCGGCGAGCTTGTGTTTGCGGAGTTCAGTCCGCTGCCGCTGCTGCCGTACAGCGGTCAGCCGTGCCTGGAGCTGTCCACGTTCGACGACGCGCTTGACGAGTTTTATTCCAAGATTGAAGGCCAGCGCGCGGGCATTGCCCGGGCGGATGCGGAGCGGGCGGCGCTGTCCAAATTAGACAAAATAAAGTTGGATCAGGTTTGTGTGTGTGTGTGTGAGTATGTGTGTGCGTGTGTGTGTGTGTGTGCGTGTGTGTGTGTGTGTCTGGAGCGGGATGAGGGAGAGGGGTGTTGTGGTGGGAGACGGGAAGGGGAGGGGGGAAACCCAGGGGGAACAGACACGCTTCCCGGGGTTTTGTGAAGGTGGGGGAGGAGGAGGACTCTGGGTTTTCTTCCCCCCCCCCTTTCCCCCTTCCTTTGCTCGCGCCCTTGCTCTCCGCCTTTAACCCCTCCCCTCCCCCCTTCTCCCCCGCCTCCCACACATGCACTGCCAATCAGGGCACTCGCGCCGAGGCCCTGCTCCGCCAAGCCGAAGAGTGCGAGCTCAAGGCCCAACTCATCACGTACAACTTGGAGATGGTGGATGCCGTACTGCTGGCGGTGAATCAAATGCTGGCGACAGGTATGTGTATGTGTATGTGTATGTGTATGTGTATGTGGGGGGGGAAGGTGTGCTTGCGCAGGGTATACCTACGTGTGTGTGTGTGTGCATGTCGGCATGTGTGTCGTACAGGGGACTGCGGTCCGGGGCATACGGGCGACAAGTACGGAGCTGGCCCCTGTCAATTGCCGTACTTGATATTCCGTGGTGTCGTATCAAACACGGGCCTCCCCCCTCAAGCAAGATTAGGGGCATGAGACTGTACAACCCGTGCACACTCCGGGTAGTACGACACACACCGTCTTCCCCAATCGCCGCGTCCATTCAAGACCGAACTTCCTAACCGCCCGCAAGTACGCCGTACAACTGTCAACCAACTTCTAACCATTGACAAACATTGGACTAACCAACGAACTGCTAACCACCCACCATCAGGCATGGACTGGTCTGCCCTGGCGGACCTGGTCCGTAACGAGCGGAGGGCGGGCAACCCCGTGGCCGCGCTGATCGCCTCCCTGGAGCTGGAGAACAACCGGGTTTCCGTACTGCTGGCAAACACACTGGACGACACGGGGGAGGAGGGGGAGGAGGAGGCCATGACAAGGAAGGCGGTCAAGGTGTGTTCGTGTGTTGTGTTTGTGTGTGTGTGAGTATCTTGCACGTACGAGTGCAAGTGAAGAATGTTTCCCGCAACACACACAGAGACACACACAGAGGCACACACACACACACATACTCGTGACATGATTGAACCTGATCACACATCGTCTGAACTTTGACCAGCGCCACGAACACATCTGATTAATGAAATAATGGGAAATTATTAATTAAATAAATGATTAATTATTAAATTATAAATGCGACAGATAAATAAATACCACCGCGCAAACACACACCCAGGTCTTCGTGGACCTGTCTCTATCCGCCGCCGCCAACGCCTCCACCTACTTCGAGGCGCGGCGGCGTCACCTCGCTAAACATGCCAAGACGCTGGCGGCGAATGAGGCAGCCCTGGCGGCGGCCGAGAAGAAGGTGGAGGCGCAACTGAAGCAGGTAGGTGCGCGGGTATGTGTGTGTGTACGTTTGTGTGTGTATGTATGTATGTGTATGTGCGTGTGTGCGTCTGTGTGTGTGCTGATGGTGGTGGGGAGTTAGGGGGTTTGTATTGGCTTCACCATGAATGGGGGTATTTTGGGGGAGGGGAGAAAGGAGGGTTGCGGGGAAGAGGGAGAGTGAAAGGGGTGCTGGTGTTGGTGGGGGTTGTTGGTTGTTGGTTGACGGTTGACGTCAGAAGTCGGGTTGGAGCCCCCGTGCAGAAGACATCCCGAGGGCTTCTGTCTCATTTCCGGCGTACACAGTTAACACGTACGGCGCGGGCAAAACACATACACGCACACACACACACACGTGCGCGCACACCATTTTAACAACTGCACAACCCCGGTAAGCCCCGGGCTCCGCCTTTTTCCCACACACCGACATACATACACGCACACACGCGCAGGTTCGTGCCGCCCCGCCCGCTCTTCAACCTGTACGGAAGCCCATGTGGTTCGAGCGCTTCCACTGGTTCATATCCAGCGAAAACTATTTGGTGGTTTCGGGGCGAGATGCGCAACAGAACGAGTTGCTGGTGAAGCGGTACTTCCGTAAGGGGGACGTGTACGTACATGCGGAGCTACATGGTACGACAATATGTGTACGGTGGCGTTCGGGTGGGGTACGGCAAGGGTGCGGTCACTAGTGCACTGGGACAAGTTCTGGTCACAAACACACGTGAAAGGGCTAGAACTGGGGTAGTACGGCAGGTGTACGGCGGGCATGCCTAACGGAGCGTTGGGTGCTTGGAGTGGCGGAGGACTTTGCAGTGTGTCCGTGTCCGTGTCCGGGGGTTTGGGGTTTGGCTTTGCTGTTGGAGAAAGTTGGGGAGAATGTTTGGAAAGGGGGTGTACGACGTGTATTTCACCCGGGAACTCTCCCACCCCCCACCCCCCACCCAAAAAATAGAACACCCGCACCCCCCCCCCCCCCCC